TTCACTAATGTTCCAGTTGAAGAGGCATGTAATATCGCGAAAGAAAGACTTCTTTCAGATATTACATTATCTCAAAGAACTAATCTTTCTCCTGAGAAAGAGAGAAAGATTCGTTCTCTTACTAGTGCCAACTCGGCTTTCATCAAGATCTTTCGCGCATACTTAGTATGATATTGCGTTGAGATGCGTAATCTTCTCACTTGTTTAAAAACAAGTCACATATTATTAGCACTGATGAAGATCCGGGCTTACGGATCGAAAGCTTTGCAGTAATAAATTTACGTGGTGTTTCCACAAACAAAAACAATTAAATGTGGGTTTGTATAATTATGAATTCTAGACTTCTTTTTATACATGGCATTTTCGGTGGGTAAAATTATGAACATATATTGTTGTTCCTACCTTGGGCCAACACCGCCATTTTGAGTGAATTTGACAAAGGATTTTCCTTCTTTGAGAATTACTTGGCCCTGATTTGAATCCCCCTGGCATTGTTTGCCCACCACCTACATATAATTATACAGAGTAAAAACAGTTTCCGACATGTAGTTTTTCGTTTCCATGTGCATGATTATGTGCTTTTCTTTGATTATCAGATATACCTTAATGAGCGGGAGTGTTCCGTTCAACGCAGAAATCAAAAAGTTGTCGAAGAAGCTCCAAGGTATGAATGATGAAGTAGCCATTTTCATTCCATGTTAAAGTTCAGGCGTATATATACGTGTATAAAACGCACAACTGGTCCCCTGCATGTTGATGTCCACAGACGTGAACACTATAATAATGTATTTTGGACAACTAAGACAATCAACCACTTGTCTGGGAGAAGTGCTCCGTCAGCTCCGATTATGTTTAACTATGGCCAAAGTTTGACCCCATAGGCTCATTTTTTACAGCTTTACAATAAGGGTTAAATTATGCTCTACGTCTATTTATTTCAAAACTTTAGAAAATTAAACTTCTGGTGATCCAGACACGATTTCTGAAAAAAATATTTCCAAGTTTATAAACAAGGTGGTAGGAAGCATGCTTTGAATTTCACGTTAACTCAGGGTTAAGCTAACCTGGTTTTGAACAACCTGTCACAGGGATATATGATCCCGATTAGGACTTGTATTCTAATTAATGAATTAATGTCCTCAGAGGTCGTGGTTCCCATTGTTGGACTTTTATTCCAATCAATGTTTTCAGGTGTCGTGGTTTCCAATGTTGGACTTTTATTCTAATTAATGTCCTCCGGGGTCGTGGTTCCCAATGTTGGACTTCTGTTCTAAAAAATATTCTCAGGTGTCGTGGTTCTCAATGTTGGTCTTCTGTTCCAATTTATGTCTCAGGTGTCGTGGTTCCCAATGTTGGACTTAATTAATGTCCTCCGGGGTCGTGGTTCCCATTGTTGGACTTCTATTCTAATTAATGTCTTCCGAGGTTGTGGTTCTCCATGTTGGACTTCTGTTCTAATTGATGTTCTCCGTGGTCGTGGTTCCCAATGTTGGACTTGTATTCTAATGAATGTCCTTTGGGGTCGTGTTCCCATTGTTGGACTTCTGTTCTAATTAATGTCCTCCGGGGTCGTGGTTCCCAATGTTGGAGTTCTATTCTAAAAAATATTCTCAGGTGTTGTGGTTCCCAATGTTGGACTTCTATTCTAAAAAAAATTCTTAGGTATCGTGGTTCCCAATGTTGGACTTTTATTCTAATTAATGTCCTCTGGGGTCGTGGTTCCCAATGTTGGTCTTCTGTTCCAATCAATGTCTCAGGTGTCGTGGTTCCCAATGTTGGACTTAATTAATGTCCTCCGGGGTCGTGGTTCCCATTGTTGGAGTTCTATTCTAAAAAATATTCTCAGGTGTTGTGGTTCCCAATGTTGGACTTCTATTCAAAAAAAAATTCTCAGGTATCGTGGTTCCCAATGTTGGACTTTTATTCTAATTAATGTCCTCTGGGGTCGTGGTTCCCAATGTTGGACTTCTGTTCTAATTAATGTTCTCAGCTGTCGTGGTTCCCAATGTTGGTCTTCTGTTCCAATCAATGTCTCAGGTGTCGTGGTTCCCAATGTTGGACTTAATTAATGTCCTCCGGGGTCGTGGTTCCCATTGTTGGAGTTCTATTCTAAAAAATATTCTCAGGTGTTGTGGTTCCCAATGTTGGACTTCTATTCAAAAAAAAATTCTCAGGTATCGTGGTTCCCAATGTTGGACTTTTATTCTAATTAATGTCCTCTGGGGTCGTGGTTCCCAATGTTGGACTTCTGTTCTAATTAATGTTCTCAGCTGTCGTGGTTCCCAATGTTGGTCTTCTGTTCCAATCAATGTCTCAGGTGTCGTGGTTCCCAATGTTGGACTTAATTAATGTCCTCCGGGGTCGTGGTTCCCATTGTTGGAGTTCTATTCTAAAAAATATTCTCAGGTGTTGTGGTTCCCAATGTTGGACTTCTATTCAAAAAAAAATTCTCAGGTATCGTGGTTCCCAATGTTGGACTTTTATTCTAATTAATGTCCTCTGGGGTCGTGGTTCCCAATGTTGGACTTCTGTTCTAATTAATGTTCTCAGCTGTCGTGGTTCCCAATGTTGGTCTTCTGTTCCAATCAATGTCTCAGGTGTCGTGGTTCCCAATGTTGGACTTAATTAATGTCCTCCGGGGTCGTGGTTCCCATTGTTGGAGTTCTATTCTAGTTAATGTCTTCCGGGGTCGTGGTTCCCAATGTTGGACTTCTGTTCTAAAAAATATTCCCAGGTGTTGTGGTTCTCCATGTTGGACTTCTGTTCTAATTGATGTTCTCCGTGGTCATGGTTCCCCATGTTGGACTTTTGTTCTAATTAATGTCCTCAGGGGTCGTGGCTCCCCTTGTTGGACTTCTATTCTAATTAAGGTCCTGAAAGATGTGTTCCCAATGTTGCTCTTCTATTCTAATTAATGCCGTCAGCGATTGTGATTACAGAGGTGCAATGCAACCTTGTTCACGTCTGCATGGCGATATCAACCCGAGACAAGTCGTCTGTTTTTACGCGTGGGTATATGCGTGCGAGCGTTTGCATGAGTTTGTCATGCCCTGGTCAGAGGAGAACAAGAGATGCATAAGAGTCGACTGGCTATTACCGGTCAAACCAGCAAAAACGTGACATCAACGCTCATCAACTCCCTTCAAACTTTGAATCGGCTCAAAGATGATGAGAGTGCGCGAGAGTCGACGACAGTTGGCGGTCAAACGCAAGCGAGGGTTACAACTCTCTTTATTGGACTGGGGGCTTAATTAATTTATGCCGCGCGTTCTTTGCTGTAGTATCATAGCACAATGACACTGTGTAACTACCTATGTGTTTTGCTTATGATTTATGTATGAGTTTGAGAAGTTAAAATATCATACAGAAATACTATCTTAGAATTTATTCGAAGATGGTCTATTTATCTTTGAATAATAAATGATGAATAAGAAGTACTATATCTTGCATGTATTAGTTCGGACAGAAGACCTGATATACATGCAATTGTACAATTGTACAAGTGTTTGAATCTTTTTTCGCTTCTAGTGTTTTTGTAGACCCAGACATGAGAAAAGCGATGGGAGAACAAGCAATAGCATTAGCAAAGGCAGTTGACTACGATTCGGCAGGCACAGTTGAATGTCTTGTTGATTCAGATAAGAGCTTCTATTTCCTTGAAATGAACACAAGATTGCAAGTGGAGCATCCAGTTACTGAGTTCATCACAGGAGTTGATCTTGTCGAAGAAATGATACGAGTGGCTGCAGGTTCGTTTCTGATATATGATAAAGGTTTGAGTTTATTTACCCACGGCATAGTTTTTCTGCACCGAAACAAATAGTAACAAGATGCTTGCTGAGGCGTTCACAATAGCCCTGGGCAACAAAATACATGCACAATCTGTATAGCTGCGGGTGTAATGTAGGAAATTAAGGTGGGAGTTTCGATGATAAAAGGTTCGGTTGGTAGCTATATCTAGAGCCAAAAAACCAGTTACTGTACTTGAGTAACACTGTACTACATACGTAGAATTCTCGTTGGTTACTTCTTTAATACTGTTACATCATTCCACATATTTTAACCCATCCCTTAAAACCAGCCATAGCAGTTTGAAGTAAATTTTGCTATGTAAAGTTCCAGTGATTTTACCACCTGGGGCATGCTTTGCCTTCAAATAAGTTCACAACGAACATGGAAAGTACGCCGCCGTGTTCTCAAAGCAAACCATCTACTATTGCATTCACATAAGAAAACACTCCCGGTAATAAATGGCCATTTGGAATCGGATGGGCGATTTTGTAATCATTAATCACACAGCATGATTGTGTTTGGTGTTGTCTTGTAGAAATCTATATTTATGCCAGTCAGAAGTAAAAGTCCAGAGCCCATTCTAAGGCACTATTCCGCTTCGAGACCTGCAGTATAAAATTGTCTTGTGATAAGCACGCCATCTTCGATATTGAAATTATCATAGAAAATGGCTTCGATACTAGCCTCCTCCCCAGGCCACTCTTTTAAAAACGGTGGGATTACGCAATACTTAGCAAATTTCACCAATTATCCTTCACCGTCACGATCCTTTATGACCATACTCTTGCTCTATAAATATTGTGCGATTCTACCGCGTTTTCCACACGTGGAAGCTGCTAGTTCTACACATGGACCCTTTAGGATTTCGTCCCGTGCGAACAGGTGGACCCATATATCGCATAAAAACAGTGTTTTTGAATTGCACTATAATTTTTTTAACAGGCCATCCACTTCAATATAAACAATCCGATATCGGTATTAAAGGATGGGCTGTAGAGAGCCGTGTCTATGCTGAGGTACGGAAGTTTAATTGTGTGTTTGCCATATGATAAAGATGTTTTTGACATTCTCTTCTCATCTTCTGTGATGACAGTAACAGACAAAAGATTTTCTGCCAATATTCTTCAATGTGCATGCTTAACTTAGCAAGAACGGTAAAACAACGTATCAATAGGCTATCGAGGCAGTGTACAGTAAATAGCCTAATTTTTTTATAATTCTAAATACATTTATTCAAAATACAATCTTCAAAATGACTTTATTTATTTAAAGGCACAGTTGATTGATGAGGGCGTATTTTAGCCCTTTTAATTGAAAACTTTAAACTTGATTTTTTAACAATAAAAAATTAAAATTGTTTTAAAATGTTAAAAACATAAAGTTTGCTGATCTTAATGAATTATGCTTAATTGATTTTCCTAGTTAGTTTTTTTTAATAGACAACTTCCATTATAGACTAATTTTAGAACTAGGCAAGGAGATGCAAATAGATCACCACCGTCAGAACGAGCATACTAAAATAAGTAAAATTGCAAAGTTTGGTTGCGAAATGATGTAAAATGCGGAAAATATAGCCTTGCAAAGTTCGCAAATTTTTTATATATATACTTTTGTATTGCGTGCCGAAATTGCTACCACATTTGGGCCGAAAATGGTCTTACTCATTTTTGTATGCTCTTTCTACAGGTAGCTGTGCATGGTGATTTATTTGCATCTCCTTGCCTAGTTTTAAAATTAGTCTATAATGGCAATTGTCTATTCAATGCGCCTTAAAAACCATTATTCAAAAGGCTCAACTGTGCCTTTATAAATACATTGTTTAATTTTATGATTCATTGCCCTGCAATCCTTGCTAACCTCACATCTACACTACAATTTAGTCCATCCATTTCTCTCTTCCTTCAATTACCGTTTCGTTTGTTTGTTTCTTTTTAGTTTGTGTCCATTTCATTTCTTTCTCAGTCTGTCCGAAAAATTTCTAAAATATATTTTCTGGAACTAAGTTGCCCGTCGTCTGATACTTCCTTCACCCCTGCAGGGCATAGTCCATATACAATATTGCGGTATATGATATCCATGTATGTGATATCCATTACAGCTGTCAATTCGTTTATTTTTAGGATCCGTTCAAGAATTTTGGTCTTCCTTCAGTAGGAAGATTACACACTTATAAAGAACCGACGCAAATTCCAAATGTAAGTGTTGAATATTTATGCCAAAGATTATAATATCATTATAAAAGTCGAGCAATTTTGACACAGTCGAAGTGAGTAAATACTTAGTCAGTGCATGCTTTGAAGCTTGTTTAGGCAATTTCAGTTGTCTTGTTTAAATATTAGTTAGGCCTTTTGCCAAGTTTAGAAACATTTCGAGGAATTGTTGTTGTTATTGTAAATTTTTGTAAATTTTAAAACATTCGCTTTTCGTGTTGTGCAAAGGATCTTTCCCCCGGAACACCCGATTTTTTTCTTTAGCAGCGCAAATGCGCATGAGCTATCAAGCCGTAAAACACGTAAATATTTCAGACGTGAATATCAAAAAATCGTGAATATCAATTAATCAATATATAAATTGATGTCATGCATTACAGGGCATTCAATCAAGTGCCGATTATTTAGACGGTATATTCATTACACAGAGCTGGGAAGGAGCTAGACAGTGATTTATTTTCAAATGTATAAACATTTCAGTAAATATTCGGAGAAAATCTTTGAGGTTTTAGGCATTCAACCTTTCCGCTTTTAAGTGAAATTTTGATCTAGTAGACAAGTCTGGACAAAAATTTCATCACAGCTTGAAAGAGCATCACAGAATTAGTAATAGTCCGAAGTTTCGTTGCGAAATGTTGTAAAATGCGGATAATATAGCCTAGCGAAGTTTGCCGTTTTTCAGTCATTTTGTATTACAAATGGAAATTGATAATCAGATGATCAAACTGATTATCAATTTTCCATTTGTAATACAAAATGACTGAAAAACGGCAGAGTTCGCAAGGCTATATTATCCGCATTTTACATTTCGCAACGAAACTTCGGAATATTACTAATTTTGTGATGCTCTTTCAAGCTGCATGTGATGACATTTTTGTCCAGACTTGTCTAGATCAAAATTTCATTTAAAAGGGGAAAGGTCTATTAAGTGTCGATATTATTTTGACGGTATATATTCATTATACAGAGCTAGGAAGTACCGATACAGTATTGTTTTCAAATATATAAACATTTCAGACATGAATATTGACGCCAATATATAAATTGATGTTTTGTATTTTACCTGCATCAATTAATACTTAAACTTTAGTCTTTATAAAGTGCCGATATATATTGTTTATACCGTATATTCACTATACATGGACTGCATAAGGTGCTACACTGCTACACCTCAGAGTAGATGGCTACACTCAGTACAAAGATGAACAACAAAACAGAAGCGGGTGCTTGTATCATTGTATGGCGTTCACGAAGAAAATAATCAACAAAATATAAACTTGCGAGACTCAAGAACATCTCTTGACTCGCCAACCGCTTGACTTCCCAGCAGGCAGCAAGCTTTATGAAATAGAAGAAAAAGGCAAGGTGCCAAGGAGCTATCCAACGTGCACAGTTACGGGCCTTGTTCACATGTCTGGCACAATGGTGCGAACTCTTGTTCAATGCAATATTCAAATGCAACGAGAACTCTACCAGATCTTGCGAGAATCTATCTGTATCAAAGCTTTATCAAAACTGCTATAAGCACTGCTATAACTGTGAAACTATTGACATCCAAAATGACATTAATTATTGAATATATACTTGCGAAAAGCTGAAAATTACTCATGAAGAACAACTTGATCCTGGGAATATAAAGTCAAAGAGTAAATCCATTTACCGAGTCAAGTCCGAGTCAGTGCCGAGCCCGCGAGTCAAATGCCCGAGTCGCGTAAAAAAAAAAGACGAAAGTGAAGAAAATTCACAGTTGAAGGTTTAGGGTTAGGGTACCAAGTCATTTTATCGACAAAGGCAGTTAAACAGTGACTCGGACATTTGACTCGAACTCGGATTTGAGTCGGTCAGTAACCGCGGCAAACTCCGAAATTGAATAAAATTCACAGTTGAATAGGGTTAGGGTAAGTTAGGAGTGGGATTATGGTTAGGATTAGGGTACCAAGTCATTGAACTGCAAAAACCATCGATTAAACAATGACTCGGACATTTGACTCGGACTCGGATTTGACTCGGTTAACCGACAAACTCTAAAGTCAAAGATCAATGAGGATGCGGAACGGATGTGGGGATAAATGCGTCATTTCAATGAGTTTTTTCGCCTCATTTTTACGTTTCTGTGTTTTTCATTTATGTTTTTTGTAATGGATGCAACGTCGTATTAACTAGTTGTACAGCTATTTCAGTTAAAGAGTGTCACTGAGACAATAGTCAAATGTGCAATGTGGGCGCTGATAGTTTTAAATAAGTTTAGTATATCAGTATGGCCTCATGGGAATACTTTCAGCGACAGCTCCCAATGCAAATGTTGTTTTTATAATATACAACATTTGGTTGTTGGTGAAACAATTTAAATTTTGAGTTGTCGCGTGTAGCATCACAATAAATAAATAAATTGTATCAGTCCACGAGGCACGACGAAGGAAGTGACAAGGAACTGTTTATCTCGTAAATACGTTGTTCTGATCCACATTTTTGAGTAACGTGCAGGGTTGGTATGTTAGATGAATAATTAGGCCAAATCGTCATTAAGTGCCGTTTAGAAAACAAATAAAACAAAATCCAAGACAAAGAAAACAAAGTGACGGTGTTTGGCCTAATTATTCAGCAAACCTACCAATGATAACGTGCCTCCTCTAGCCTATGCTTGCTGGACCCTATACAGTTCTTGCCGTGCCTTTTTCAATTTGAAACTTTACACTATCCTTGGATCCCTAGTTCTTGCAATCGCGGTTCAAAAATGAAAACAGAAATGTTTTGCTTGGGAGAAGATTACTTCAAATCATCATAGTTTATACTACATAGAAGGACTGCAAAACATTATGTAATAATATACAGATGCACAGCAAAAAATCATTTTCTTATTTTAAGAGAAAAAAATTTGTTTTAAGAAAATGTTCTTGAAATAAGAAAATATTTTGTTGGGAGAATAACAAGAAAATGTTCTTAATAAGAAATTTTCTTAAGAAAATTTTTTTATTAAGAAAATTTTCTTGAGAAAAAATTCTTATGGTGCTTACACTTAATAGACGTGTACACTGATTGGGGTAAAACAGAAAGGCCACTCCTTTGATGAGGATAATGTTTTAGTGACGAAATCATTGGGGACCGCAGGTATATGTCCGATTGAGAGGGGTACATGTCCGTTAATAGTGGTTCGACTCTGATTTGACTGCACAATAGCATACCATTTTCAAAAAAAAATTTTTTGAAAATATCAAAGTAACAAATGTTTGCCTTCTAGCGGTGCGATGTCAGATTATTTTAAAAAGTGGAAACGTAGATAATGGTTGGAGAAGATGCTTAAATTTTATCGTTTTACATTTTGCGTTTTAGGTTCGTGTAGATAGTGGTATTGTTGAAGGAAGTGAAATCAGCATATATTATGACTCCTTGATTTCAAAGGTACAGGAGCTGTTTTATAGTAGATTTATATAGGAGTATAACTTGTTGATCATATGAGCAAATTGTTGTAAATTGTTCAATATTATTACTTTTATTATTATTATTTAACAATCGCACATTGTTTTTAATGGTATTTTACTATCAATTTGGTGTCAACAAAACTCCTCAAATCTCAAGTATTTTACACAAAATTCTGGCATAGTAAAGGATGGCAGTTTTCATCTGGTTTTATACGCTTGTACGAAGACCAATGTTATTTAATCTCTTAAGAGCTTAACCTGCCCAGAGCATTGATTATTTAAAGACACAAATTACTCCCCTTTCGCCCCTTCTCCTCTTAGTTCGAAATGGTTCCGCCACAGGTAGGCCATCACTTGACTGTCAGAGGCTATATATTACGCACACCATCTGGAGTATTTTATAGGTCGCCAGGACCAGGACAGTTTTCAGAATCCCAATTATTATTATTGTTCTTATTTTCGAATAAGCCAACTATACAAGGATGCCTCTAGCAAATACTACAATTCAGAAAACCCTAATAAGAATTTAAAAGCATATTGTACTTCACTTCGGCTTCGGATTTAAGAATAAGAAGAAAATTGGAAAGGGAAGAGCATTAGCTATCAGCGTTTGTCAGCTATTATCAGAAGGCACCCCATGTCAACAGTCCAGTCCTCGCATTCCCATAATACTGTTTTTCCAATGTAAATATTTTTCGTTGTTAAACAGTTATCTTATATCATCTTTCAATCTTTTCATCCTCCCCTCCTAAACAACCAATCACCGATGGTATGACTTTCACTCTAATCTAATAAGACAGTCTTTCAGTCCCCTCTTTCTTGTAGTTCAAAACACAGCTGTTGATACTTTCTTATCTTCTATCGTTCCCATTTTTGTTCGACTCGTTCTGACACGCCATATCTATCAGGGTAATCTTTTTCTTTTCACTGTCCTCAAGTGTCAGATCGGGTTTCCTCGCCGTGCAACTCGTCCTTATCCTATATAAGTTCCCAATCCCAATATAGCTTCTTCTCGTTGTTCTCAATCACTTATTCTTTCTCCCATTTCTCATTAACATTATCCCAAAGGAGCTTTGTGGTGTTAAATTATAATTTAAAAATAGTTATAGAGAAAGCAAGAGAGATCTATAAACTACTAGGTCTAAAACATTTTTCAGTCAATAATCTTTCCGAGGAGTTTGAAAATTTCGGATTTCAAATCGGGCAAGTCGTTCCATAGTTTTACTGCTCTGGCTGTGCTGGCATCTTGTTATTGTACGATAAAAGGGTATATTCAGAGTGTCCCTTCATGTATTTGCGATCTTGAAATTCCAACTAGCCAAAGTTTTCTCAAATGCTCGTCATGTGTGGTTAAACAAGAAACAAATTAAATACAATAAAAACAAATACAGGGTGTATAAAAAATATGGCAATCGAACTTCAGCGCGCTATTGTATCTGAATTACTCTGCGTATAAACGAGATTTTTATATATTCGGAAAGATCAGGCTTTTAGCTGTTGGATGATTTTCATGCCAAATGGATAAAAAATGAGCAAATACGAATTTGATAAAGAATGTTAGTCAGAATCGCATATTTTCACCGTTGAGAGTCTAAAACCATTGAAAATTAACCCCCATTTTGTGCTTAAGTTGATGAATTTTACCTCTACTACTTTCTACTATCTTAAAACTATAATTATCAAGTAGGAATAAATCGTAGCTAAGCTATGACAAGTTCGTAATTGATTGCTTTTTCTTTTGTTATGCACTGCTAAAATTCGGCACAGAGATGAAAATATGCGATTCTGCATGACCAACATTTTTTATCGGACTTGTACTTTCTTAATAGCTAAAAGATTAATCTTTCCGAATATGGAGAAAATGTGTTCATACGCCGTACCATATTCATGTACAATAGCGTGCTGAAGTTTAATTACTTTTTTTTATACACCCTGTATATAGATATTCTGTAAGATAATTTAAAATTTGTTTAGTCTCCAAGTTTCGACACTGGGCCTGCATGTGTATATGATCTGATCTCGGGACTAGATCTAGATCACTATATATAGGGACACCTTAAACCCAACGTTACCCTGG